CCAGTCCTGCCTCATCCAGCTGGGCCATTTGCAGGAGGAGAGGTAGGCGTGAGGCGGGCGAGCTTTCTCCCCCCCCCTCCTCCCCCCCCCACAAAATTTGGCCGGAAAATAAACTGGGATTAAAAAAACTGTGATAAAAAAACCGTGATAAAAAATGAATAATTTTTAATAAATTAATAATAAATAATAAAAACATCTCACTAACTTCATTTCCAAATAAATTTAATATGTTAACTATGTTTTCTATGGTTTCTTTGGGATGATCAGGTATCGTTACTGTTATTTTATTTTATGTGCGGCCCAAACCAAATTTTCATCTTCTAATGTGGCCCAGGGAAGGTGAAAGGTTGGACACCCCTGCCCTACACCATTTCTGACAGATGGCAGTCCAATCTCTTCTTGAAAGTCTCAAGTAATGACTCTCCCACAACTTCCAAGGGCAAGCTGATCCCTTGGTTGATTGTTCTCTCTGTCAGAAAGATTCTCCTTATTTCCATGTTAAATCTCTCATGAGCTTCATATAACATAATTTTCTCCATGATGAAAACAAAATAAAAACATACAAGATAATGCTGAAACTCAGCAGCAATTCAAATTTCTAACATAGGAGAAATTATCTTCAGTCTGCTACATTCCAGAAATGTTGGGAATTGCAGTTCCAATGCAATTGGAGGCCATCCAGTTTGCTGGCTTTCTATTGTGAAAATGATAAATGGCTAACATTCCAAGCTCAGTTCCGCTACAGTTGCACTCTTTATCTCTTGAGAATTTTCTCTTTCTTTGCTGTCAGTCTTGACTAAACACAAGTTAAACCAAATACCATATCAAAACGAAAAAAAAAAAGTTTGGCTCGCTTGATAAATAAATAACATATTCTGCAAATCTAATAGGGCTTGTACGGATGAATGGTATGCACAGTATTGTTTTGTATGGTCCTGACTAGATGGTATCTGGTCAAATAGTTAAAATTGGAGCTTTAGGAAACTATGTCACTTTCCACTTCCTGCTGGGTGTCCAAGTGCTTGGAAACAAGACCCAGTTAGTAAAAGTTAACAAATAAACAAACGGAAGGTCAGCTCAGCTGCAGTGAACATGATCTCCTGTCCAGCTCAAAAATCCTCTTCAACTCTACAGCAGCTCCTGCTGGCTTTCCTCCCTTTTCTCTAGTACAAGCCAAGTACAAGAGCATTACTGTGCTAGCCTCCCTTCATCCCGGCCTCTCACAGGATGGCTGATCTTAGCCAGTTCCTAGGCGAGATATTAAGTTTCTAGCCTTGCTAGTGTTTTTAATAAGTCACTGTTCACACAATCCTTGTAGCAAAATAAATGGTCCGGTCTGCATTATTTGCCAAACTTTTAATTTCTTTTTACATAAAGTACTACAAACATGCAGACTAAGCCACAGCATAAATATTCAACAGTATTGAGAAGAAATGTTGCTTTAATGACTAATATACAGTTTTAATAGGAGTCTGGACCTCAGCAAAGGATATTGTTGTAGGTATTAGATGAACAGTCACATCTTCCTTCTCCTGTAAACGCTTAAATTCCTGGTTTTTTTTTAAAAAAATAACATACCCTGTTTTGTAGGACTAACCAGTAATCCTGAAGAGGGAAATGTGATTTGTAGTATATGGGGATGCTCAGGTGTTAAGATTGACAAATAAGACCAACAATCTTTATTTTTGTTTTTAAGTGCTCTCAGAAAAAAAGATAAAGCCAAGATTGGTGTTTCAGCATTTTCAAGAAATACTTTGATGAGTTAATTAATTAAAGCCAAGGAATTATAAAAGCTTCCTATACTATTTTACACATGGAAACTCTGAAGGAAATTTCATTAATTTTGATGCAATTAACTCTCAAAGCTGAAATTATTCACATTATAAGACGAAGCCGTTTGTTCTTGGATTCAGCCATTTGTTCTTGGATTCTATGCCAAGGAAATCTGAGATATGGTAAAAAGCAGCTCATCTCACTGGTATGTCATATGTTGTATTGTCAGAAATTTTTTGGATTTAAATACATAAAATCATAAATATATTATAATGCAGTCTAGGATCCAATTACTAATTTCATTCATAAACAATTGCTATGTATTTTGTATTTGTTTAAACAAAAGTAATCTGAAATAACTACTCAGCATAGATACATCATACTGCATCTAAAAGTTCAATGTAGTGGTTAAGGTGCTGGCCTAGAGACCAGACGACTGTGAGTTCTAATACTGCCTTAGGCATGAAAACCTGGCCAGATGACTCTGGGTTTGTCACTCTCAGTCCAGTTTGCATCACAGGGGTTTTGTTGTGGGAAAATAGGAGGCAGAAGAATTATGTATGTTTGAATTATAAAACAAGAATTATATATCTTTTAACATATAACCTTTGATATGTTTAAATAAGGGGAATATAAAAGTGTAATAATAAAATAATGTAGAAATTAAATATTTTTTAAAAAATATAGACCTATGAATTCTTGCATTTTGTATTTTTCTACTAATTTATTTTGCCAAATTACATGCCACAAGAAGAAAGGGAGAGGTTTGTTTCTCTCATTTTGCTTATCGTCATTCCATATTCTAGGAGTTTCACTTTCTATTTTTGTTCCCTTGACCTAAATCTAATGAATTTCCAAATACATACCCAAATATGAACACCTATTCTAACTAAATAAAAGCTAGAAATATTAATAACTGAAGAAAAACTAATATCATTCCTGATTCGGGGTACGTAGCTGGTCTAGTTACTGAGACTCAATAGATGTAACTTGGTAAAAAAAAAAAAACGAACCTACGAAAGGTGTTGAATGAAACCCAGCAAGTATAACTGAAGACGCACAGGCTTTCAGGTTAAAGTGTTTCAGATTTAATCAGTTGAGTCTAGTCCAAAATTATATTAGTAGGTCAGAAAAACAATACACAAAGCTGCCTGTCTTGTATACATCTCTTATTGGCATCCTAAAACCAGCACAACTTCCAACAGGTCAGAAATTTTTGGAGTCCGTCTTCAAGGAATCATAATAGATCATGTTTAGATCACATATTTCATCTTGTTCTTTTCTGTACATATAAAGCCTGCTGCAACCTTATACAGAGGTGTGTGCATATATTAAATGCCAGGGGCAAACTAAGAAAATGGTGCTTATATTTTCAAAAGCTTGTTAAACCATCAATAGGAAAAAGTTTGTCCCAATTATGTGTCAAACCTATAAAATTAATCAACAATTTTATTACAATGATTTAAGATAAAACAATTGCAGTTTGACTGGATGAGAGCAAGACATATTTGTAAGAATAAAATAGGATATAATGATTAAAAGGGCTCTTAGAATTCTTAGTGCCTGTTCAATTATAAACATATTAAAATCCTGTACAAATCCTGTAAAACTAATTTCTAGATTTTGAAATAAATTAAACCAATTTGTAGACATACTCAGACATATTTGATTATGATCTGAATTCATTTTTAAAAATTCACAAAGCTTTTGAACAGCTCAAGCTACAGTTCAAAAATATTTTTTAAATCCATTGATTCATATCATCTAGAGTTTATTTTCAATCTAAAAGCAGAAAAAAAATTAAAAGTCCCTATGCCAGTTGAACGAACCTTTGGCATCATGATTCTGTTTTAATATTAATACAGAAAAGCCTATTGTATCTGGGACAACAGTAACCTCCAGGTTAAGAGGTAAGAAAAGAGAGTGGGATCTCTGTTTCATACTAAAAACACTCCTGGGGAATCAAAGGAATACTGTTTTGCTTAATACATAAAGTTCAAAAAGAAAAGGCTGCCCATCTTGCTAGATAGCACAAACCATTTAAACAAATACTAGCGTGACATCTATTCAAAGATCCAAAAGGAGACTGGAGATATGACACTTTTTAAAAGGCAGCAACTGAGGGTAGTGAGATATTCTCATGTACTATATAATTACCAATCTTATTTCCAAATTGAGAGGCAATGTCCAATTGCAAATATTTCAAAAAGTTGCTCCTTTGTACATATTTATATATATATATTGTGCTTATGAAGAGAGCATTAATCTCTACAATAATGCAGATTTAAATTCTAAAGTAATACAGAAAGGAGATCAATCCTGTATACTGAAATGTACATCTCTCCACTTCTTCTAGGTTTCCTCCAAAATGCATTCAGGATCTTAATTAATAAAGGAGAGAGTCAGAAAAGGTTTTGAGATTTTGTTCACCTGAACTTTGAAGAATTTTGCTTCTATAGGTAGTCCTCACCTTACAATCACAATTAGGACTGGAATTTCTGTTGCAAGTTGGTGAAGTCATAAAATGTATTATGTGACTGGTCCTGATTTTACAAACATTTTTATCGTGCTCATTAAGTGAAACATGTGGTCATTAAATGAATCACGGTTAAGTGAGCCTGGTTTCCATTTGACTTGGCTTGTTGGAAGATCACAAATCACAACCTTCATGTGACTGCAAGATGCTGCAATTGCATCCCACATGAGTCGACTGTCAAGCGCTTGAATTGTGATCACCTGACTGAGAGGAGTAGTGCAACAGTTGTAACTTTGAGGAGAGTTTGCAAGTCACTTTTTCTGAGGCTGTTGTAACTCTAAACCACTTTTAAATGAACGGATGTAAATATAGGACTACCTATATCAACTGTTGCCATAATCTGCTGTGTGAACTTTATGCAGAAAGATAAACAGATAAATAAAGGGAAGGAATACTACACTGTATTACTACAGTACAGTATTACATTATTACTAGTCTTCCCTGGAGCCTCTACTGTAGTAAACATGAGCACATTCATCTTCCAAGATTAGATGATATGGGCATGTTCCGGGTACTATAGACACAGACTACAAGGACATGTTTATAATTGGACAAGTAGCTTTGCACTTATTCTTGAAATATATCTGGATGAAAATTGCCCCCAATGACTGCACAGCAAAGAAATGAGACACCTCTTGAAAACGTACCTTCAGCTTCCTTTTCTCTGTCCCACAAAAGATAAATCTAAATATACATGAGCCCTTCTATTAGTTTTACCTGTATAGGTTTGGGCAAAAACAGTGCAAAGTTTCCAAACGGAAATACCAATAATGCTGACCGCTGACATGATTTAATGAATATTCAAACTGGATTCAAATAGCCCACAATTCGGAGTCACTGCCAGTGAGATGAAAGAACGTTAATTTTCCCAGGCAATCTTGTTGCAAACCTAGGCCAATTTGTGGCCATTCCAAGCCAAACAGGAACGGGAATCCTTATAGTCCTTATTGCCTTAATTGAGGATATTTCCCAGGATTCTCTTGCCTGAGGAATGCACAGCATTGAATGGCTCAAAACCTTTTCCTATTACATAGGCACAAACTATAACAATTAAACGTATGAGTAAATAAGTCTCTGAATATAAAATAGGGACAAAAGCTTCAAAGGTTCAAGAAGTTGGGAATAAAGAGAGTCAAAAATTTCATTCTCTATTCTTCAGCTCACTTAGCTCTGTTCTCAGAGGTGATGCTTAAAAAAAAAGAAGCGTGCTCATGACAAAAAACAGGGTTATAAATATAAAAAGGAATTCATTGTCAAGCACCAGTAACATCACCAGCTCTGTGCAGGCAGGATGAGCTCAGAATTTTCCCCAGAAATAGACATTTAATCCAGGAAAAAGAGGGAAAGTCATTTTTAGCACTGCGACTGTCTGGGCTACTCCTTGGATGGTAATGGAAAGTTATTCTTCAAGCAAAGAACAGCTTGTATTGAATGAAGAAACTCACAGCTAACGGCAAAGACATCGAGCTGGTATGAACCAAATGCTTCATAAACTCAAAGATGTGCTCCCAAATGATAGCCTTGGAGTTTGCCATTAAAGCCATATCCATACCTTCAAGGTGCTATAGAGTCAGATAAGCTTATCTCATTTCGTTTTTTTAAAAAGTGGGATATGAAGACTGTTTGGCTTCTGCTGTGCTGGAGTACTAGGATCCATTTTGGGGTGGTCACTGCAATCCTGCTGCAAGCTATTACTCCATAATGGCCCGGTACAGTGCAGGCTCGATGTAATCCTCACGATAGCGTGAGTTGACCACCCTCTGTCTTTTTCTCTCTTGTTTGACTTCTTTCTCTGTGAAGATCTCTGTGAAGCGCATGTCAGACGCAACAGACTGCAAATCAAATAAAGACATGTTAAAAGAACAATGGAGAACACTGGACTATGACTGGACTTATAAAGGACTATAAGGTTGACTCAGACTTCCATCCTTCTGAGGTCAGTAAAATGAGGACCCAGATTGTTGGGGGAAATATGCTGACTCTGTAAACCACTTAGAGAGGCTGTAAAGCACTATGAAGTGGTATATAAGCTTAAGTGCTATTGCTATAATGATTCTTCGCAATTTTCCTCTTGCATAATAAAAATCATATTATTTGACTGGAAAACAACAAAGAGCAGATTTTGGCAATCTAACTATCCAGTTTAGAGTAAAGTACTTACTGTAGATCTACCTCAACTCTTGAGACTCCAAGTGGCTGCTTACCATTAATCTACACATTTGCAGAGTTCAATAATGGGCTCAACAAACAGTATTCTGAAAATCTAGTTTTCCTTTCCTTTGAAATTACTTTTGGAACCTTTAGTTTAATAATTGTATTATATCCTAGAAGCATCTATAAGTATCCCAGTTGTTGAAATTAGTTGTTGAGGTATTCCCTGTTAGGAGAATGAGTGCACTCAGGGAAACATAGTGAGAGTGGTGATGAATAACACACAACCAGCACACAGATACATTGAATACTAAGTTTTACTTCCTATAAATGGGTAAACAAAGTCCAACAAACAGTCCAAATCATACCCGGTTAAAGCAGTCAGTATTCAAAATACCGGTAATCAGTCCAGGGGTAATCCAAAAACAAAGTCCTTTTCTTTACCAGTATCATTAACAAAGTTCAGTAAACGAAGACTCACAGCAATTCAATCAGAATGACAATCAGGCAAAAGGCAAAAGGAAAGCAAAGGAAATGCAAAAAAGAACAAACCAGGTTTCTGGCTCCATTTTATGGTCGTTGGAGGAACCTCAGCCAATCACAATTACAACATTCTCTTAAAGATACAACAGTATTAAATGACTATCCTGGTTTATATACTGCCAACCCAACTGTTAGGTGACTATCATTCCTAACACCAGTGACAGAAGAAATGTTCCCTATGTGGGAACTGATGCTCTCTTGTGTGAGAATTTCACATATCAAAATCTATCGCTGTTTAACTTACCAGCCTTGACTTGACTCTTTTAGGAAGTTCTTCATCAACTGTATATACGTCATCCCTTTTTGCCATTAGCTGGGATCCATCTTCAAACTCCACCTAGAATCAGAACAATCAGATAGACATAAGCATCAATTGCTATTTTTGTATCATGCAGAATGTTTTTATGGAGCAGGATCCCAGCCAACTGGCATACTATTTCATGTACTCATCATGAAGGAGCTGGCAGACCAGCTGCTAATAACAGAACAGAATATGTAGAAACTAGTTTGTTGTTGTTTTTAGTTGCAAAATCATGTCCAACCCATCGCAACCCTATGAACAACCTCCTGTCCTTCCTCCAGGCCTTCCTGTCCTCTACCATCCCCTGGAGCCCATTTAAGATCAAGAAATTAGTTTATATAGCCACAATTACAATTCATGAGATTTTTAAACTCTTGACACAAATGTTAATATATCGATCCATGTATCTTTTGGAACAGTCAATTACACATGTTATCTTGCTCATGGCAGGCCAGAATACATCTCTCAGAGATTTCAGAACTCCCACATTAACAATCCACAAAGAGTTAAATAGAGAGAAAATGAGAAGATCCCATTCCTCACTCACCTGGTACATCTGGATGACATGAGAAGCCACAAACGTAGCTCCATAGACCTGTCCATCTGTCCATCTGACTTCAACAGCTTCTCCTGGAGGTGGAGGACCAAGCTGGGAGCAATCTCGACTCTGTCCATATTGGAGAAAGTTTGAGAAATATAATCATCTACTGAATAACAGAAGAAACATTGGTTAAAATAATAGACCCTGGAGAAGCTTGACAATTGAGCTGGTACATGGCAATGAGGAGTGCAGGAAAATGTACAATTCTATTAACATCAGGAGGTAGTTGCAATGAGCTTAATCTTATAATCAGAATACTCCTGCCATGAACAGATTACAAGATCTACAAAATTATCCTTGTTCTACAACTACTCATTTATTATATAGATATCTGTATGAACATAAAACAAGTAAAGATCTGGCAAGATAATAGAATCTTCATCTGGAATTATTTTTTCCTCTAATGAAAGATTTTTTAAGGCACTGAAGAGGGGAGGAGGAAGGGAAGAGATTTCTAATTTAGGAGTCAAATAATCTATGCTATATTTAGCTTTACATTATGCAGCTCAAAAGTATTGTCAGGATGCTTTAGAGATTTGACCCACTTCAGCAATCTGAGACTTTATATTAGAACTATATATTTTTGGTGCAATTTTTTTTTACTGTAAAGCATACCACAATATCTTCTGGATATAGGTTATCACTGAAGGAGCCATCATCAAAGTTGACCTCATAAAATGTTTCTTTTGTCAGATTGACCACTTCACATTGATAGAAACGTCCATTCTTGTGCTTGCTTATCACCTGCTGTCCCACAGCAAGATCCTGTAGACCAGCCTTAGCTCGCTGAAGGAACAAAGGAGTAATAATCTATGTTATATTCAGAAGATACAACTTGATGATTAACTACATGAAATATTTTGAAGGTTGTGGAAAGTTGCACAAAATACAAGTGCTTCCTATGCATTATCTGGTAAGCACAAATATTTTTACATCTCTTTTGAAAAGCCTTTTAATGTAAGATTTGTATTATGCCTTTATATTCTGCTAATGCAAACTATATACCATCAACTTTTAATGAAGATATAAATAGAAGGTTCAGTAATATTAACAATAGCAACAAAACTAGCAGTTGCTTTGGGCAGATAAACATTTTAAAATAAAGGACAAAGCAAGCATTTCCATAATATGGTATGTATGTGTGGCCTCCTGAACACTTTTACTACTGCCTTTCCAAACTGATTAAGATGTTCAAAAGTAATATGTCAAGTACAAATGTTAAGTTAGGCTGAACCAAATATTAAGTCTCTATTATTTACTTCTGCTTGAGATGGACTTTTATGTCGAAAGCAGGTAATGAAGACCACAAACGGCCAGTCGTCTGGCTGCATCATGACTCCAGCTGCTTGAGCGCAGCTGACGTGGAAAGATGTAGGACAGCGGCCATGAGAGCACTGCACGCAACAACCAGCTATTCTCTTCCGCCTCTTCTTGCAGAAGACACATTTCTGCAAAGAGACAAATTCAGCACTTTAATCAAGGTGAAGTTCCAAAGATATCAGATGCTTGGACACAAAAAGAGACACATGAGCCTATCAAATTCAGATGCAGATTTGTTATCAGGTTTTGAAATCATGTACTACAGTGTGAATTTTTATTTTCAGACAAACCTGCATTCCATGTGTATTTCAATGGCACTTACAATCTGCTTCAATGGCCAGGCATTTTCTTTATAGGTCAGGCATTTTCTTTATAATTAAAATTGTACAATCTCATGAAGAAGAAGAAATACATGATGTTTAACTATCACACAATTATACTATATATGTCATTATATTTCTCTGTAGATTCTTGTAGGGATTATCTTATCTTTACTTATATGCTAAAATAGGTGATTATTGATGGGAAGTTTCTGTATGCTTCTTTTTGTACATGGTATATTTCAGCACACATTGGGTAAAATCAAGGCCTTGAATGTTTTTGTATTTTCATCTTCCTTTATATAATAGGATACACTTGGTCCTATCTCGTGTTATTTAACATTTATATGAAATAAGTTACTTAGGGTGAAGTCTCGCTCTATGATGACTTTTCTCATGCATAATGGAATCATGCATTGAGACTGGCCTTTTTTTAACCTGATTATTGTACAGCCAGCACATACGTAAGCTATGTGCCCTAGATCATTAATATACAACTACTCAATTCTACAAGTAATTGCTAAGTTACACTCATTATTACACTGCATAAAACAACTTTCTGGAATCTGTCACCTTCCAGATATGCTGGGCTCCAACTTCCATAATTTTTGGCCACTGTGACCTTTGCCCCCCAGTCTTAAAATAAGTTTTTTCCCCAAGTACTTTGGAATGGGAACAAGTTGGTAAATGCTATGTATAATCATCCAAAGTTCCACCACTTGCAACATCACAAATTATGTAATCTGAAAATATTTTCTTCCTACGTTCTCGGGGTTCTGATTTAAGAATCTCATAAAAGCATAGAATAAGCATGTATTAATCAGTTCAAACTATTGTTTACTTTCTTACCAGTCGGAAACGTTGCAGTGGAATTTTGCTGACATCAACTGGACTACGCTGAGCAATGTTTATAAATTTGGCCTCTTGAACTGCCACAGCACACATAACATGAACCCACCTGAGAAAAAACAGAAGTTTACTTAAGTATTTAGTAAACGTTTGTTAAAAATTGGCTGCAGGATATGGATAACCAAAACCAATATTGGTAAAACAGCTCAAAAACAAACATATATGCCCATAGTGTAAAGAATAGGAACCTTATGAACAATATGATCTCCCCCACTCTCAATACAGTTGCATGTCTTTGAAAGAAGTGCTTTGCAAAAACATTCAGAACAAAAATGGGCACATACTCTGGAAGGCTCACGGCTGCTTCAAAGGTTCTCTCTTTACTGTATGCATGAACAGATAATAGACTAATGGCAATGTGGCTGTCTATGCACACATGTGTACACTGACAGCCTTTGCATCAGTTTATGAAAACTTCATAGAATGTGGTTGCTTTAAGTATTTGAGGAGATTTTTGCTTGCAACAATAGGCTTTGCAAAACACGAATGAATGATGAACACACTACTTTGCACAACCATAACATCAACTAGCACTGCATCAGACCAGGGAAACATCACTAATTTGTTGCTTAACATGAGTTGATGTCTACTAGTCCAGGGATCTTCCATTCTTAATTATCATAAAAACTCACTTGTTATCATTGGCTTTTTGAAGTGCACCTCCACGAAGTGAGCATAAGCAGCAATCCTGACAGACAAAAGAAAATCACATTTATTTGTATTTATGTCCTGCTTTTATTATTTTTACGTATTTTTCCTCAAGGCAGTGGACATATCCAACACCCCTTCCTCCTCTTATTTTCCCCACAAGAACTATCATGTGAAATGAGTTGGGCTGAGAGAAAGTGATTGGCCTAAAGTGATCCAGATGGCTTGAAGAGGTGGTTTTGGTACCCCAGGACTAGATTCTGGAATACTGATGAATACAATTAATAATAGATGATACTGAATCAACCAAACCACAGGTGTCAAATTCATGGCGTCACATTACTGTCACGTGATGTTTCACAACATTTTCCCCAATGGTAGAGTTGGGGTGGGCATGGCCTGCGTGTGACACATCCAGACCGCAGGCCACCAGTTTGACACCCCTGAACCAAACTATTCATTTAAAATATTCCATGAAGTAAAGTCCTATCTGAAACTAGATCTTCTTTACATTTTAATGAAACTCTTTTATACCAATAAAACTATTTCAATAACTATCTCACAACTGCAAACTTTCCAATGCCATCGAACTAAGGCTCATGCATGAACACAAAAGAATTTTAGCAGACCTCTTCTAAAGCATTGGCTTTACATCGAGAGCATTTCCATTCTTCAACTGCTTTCTCAGGGGCTACTCCATAACAACCTACATTAAAAAAAAAGGTTTGTAGGCTAAGCAATAAAAATCAGCAATGTTTCAATTTTCATATCCCTTCTTATTTTAACAAATATTAATAATGAATTTATATCCACAAAATAAGTTTGACCAGTCTTGGAAGACCCATTTGAAACACACTAACAAAAAAGCAATACTGATCTATCCATAATCTGATCTCATTTAAAAATATACATTTCAAACTTGTGTTTCTTTATTATTTACTCAATCCATAAAAATGGTCATGATGGGTCAAATCTATCTCTGGGCCCTGTCAATTCAATGAATTTTATAACAGAAAAAATGAACTCCAGATGTTAATTATTACAGTGCTTTATATCTTTTAGGGTTTTTTAAAAAAACTGTTTTAAAGTATTAGTGACATCCAAAGCATTAGGAAAGGAACTCATCCAGCCTGCTTAGTAATTGGCATTCCACTGAGATTTTCCCCTCTGAATTCTTATATTGTGGGTTAGTTTTCCAGAAAGAGCACCTTAATCTTCACATAGTATGAAAAGTGCAGTGGCACCTTGATACTCAACTGCTTTGAAACTCATCAAATTTGGTACTCAACATCATTTTGTCCCAATACTCATCATTTGTTTGGTGTTCAATGCACAAACTAGAACATGTAGGCACTGCTTTGTAACTCATACATTATTCTCTATGGGAAAAATTTGGTACTCATAGTTTTTGGTACTCATTATGTCTCCCGAAATCAATTAACATAGAGTATCAAGGCACCACTGTACCTTGAAGGATATATTTTGAGTTTATTCCACTTTAATTGTAGTCTTCACTCATGGTATTTTCAGATCATTTTGTTCATATGAATCTGGTGGGCACTGAAGTGCAATACCTTGACTTTTTCCTGTGCTCTTTCTTACAGGTAAAAATAAGCAGGAATAAGCTGTTTATATTTACACTGCTTCTTTATGAACTATGGGAAAATGGAGGGGTAAATAGTAATATTTTATTTTGGGTATCAATGGACAATCAGACCTAAGTTTTATAGTACTCACTGGCATGGACCCGGACCTGACAGCGCTTGCATGTGACCAGAACACTGGTGCCATCTTCTTCCAGATATGGGGTAGAGAGGTTGACATCTGTGCTACCACCAGTGGTAGTAAAACACATTTCAGGGATGAGGGGCTTAGTTTTCATTTTTCCATTAGTAGCATTTGGAACTGCTTGTAAGCTCTGACTTCCACAATCTGCCTGCCAATGAGAAATTACACATTTTAGAAAAGAACAACACTGCAGAAATAAAAATAAACGTATGATCAGAAAAGCATTCCGGTTTTGTTTGCATACTGAAAGAATTCAAATAAATATTATTTCATTATGTAATGCTTTAAGTACAATAATTCCAAATTAGGTTTGATAGTTTTCCTTCCAAAGAGAAATATTTCCACCAAACATAACCAGCAGATCCTTCTTTCATGTCAGAATAAAGGAAAACTATGTTTGACAAAATTGATATAAAATAGTCCAAATCTTTGAAGATAAATTACATACTATGTTAATCTCAGGCACATTTCTGCAAATATGACTCCAGCTCTAAGATTTTATTTTAATTATTAAAATATGTTATTCCCGATATAGCAATTCATAAAAAATATTTTGGGTTCAAGACTTCCTTGTTCTACTGAAGAATCAAAAAATAAATTATAAATTCCTTAAATGTTTTCAACAAACAATTAAAATACCACTCTAAACAGTTTCTGTGTTGCATTAATTAATGAGGGGAAAATGGAACAGTAATAAAGAATATAAGAAACAGAATACCCTTGTTTATAGCAAATATGTTTGAGTTAGTTAGGTAAATAGATACTTTTTGAAAAATTATTCACACCTTAACCACCATGCCATACAGACTCTCAAAAGACCTTTCCCATCTGAGATGAATATGACAACTGCTATGGCATACAGCATCCATTACTACCAGACAGTTTCCCATCTATATTATTAACCAAACTTAATCTTGCTTAGCTTCCATAATCAGGCACTAAAATATGTGTATGGTTTATTTCTTAAGAAAGCATGATTTGTTAGCGTAAAATGAAAGATGCTGTAGAAAATCAGACCCACTTACTACAGAAAAATTGGAAGCAGGATTATTCTAACTATAATCAATCTCAAAACTGAAATCACATTATTAGCACAGCGCTTCCAACACTTAACAACAAACCACATTGTATCAGTGTTTCTGTACTATGCAGACCAGGTGAAAGAATAATCTGCTTACCTGGTAGGTTTGGAACAGCATGCACACTGCACAATAGGGAGCCTGCTGAGCCATGGCAATATTATACTCCTTTTCCGCTTCAAAGTTTGGAGGACGATTCTGCCACAGTTGACTGAGAGACTTGGCCCATGCTTCCATCTCTTCAGTTTCTTCTTCAGGTGTTAACTGTTCTGACATTTCTGCAGTAAGAATCACAGCTTCAATCAAAATTTAGATAAACTATTTCCCCTTTTCTGCAGGCTGTCAAAAGAATAACAGATTTAAACTATTGGAAAGATAACAATGTTCCACATTTTTCAGCCATGCCTGCCAATGCTCTCTATGTCTCTATTAGTAACCTTTACAAATGCTACCTTTTACAGTGTACAAAAGTTCAGCTCCATACATGGTTGCTAAGCCCATATAATTTGTAAGACCATTAATTTGGAAATAATACACCACCTCACAATTATAAAATCATGTTTGAAATATGTACTCTCTTTCTTTTGCCTCAGAGATCAAAGTGCTGTATTGGATCCTAACTTGGTAGCTGAAAATTCAGCATCAAAATATATCAAGTTCACACCCCAGGTATACAACCTTCAAAAATTGTGAATCAAAATGTGATTAATGTATTCAGGTATATGTTGTACAAGAGATTGCTTTAAAGATGTAAAAGATGAATTTAGACATCCAAACATACTTATTGCTACAGGCAGTCCTTGACTTACAATCATTCATTTAGTGACCATTCAAAGCTACAACGGCACTGAACAAAGGGACTTGTGACCAGTTTTCATATATACAACCATTGCAGAATTCCCCATGGTCACATGATCACCTTTTGACAACTAACGTCTTTGGGAAATCAGATTGACTTAACAACTGTGTTACTAACTTAACAATTACAGTGATTTATTTAAGAGCTATGGCAAGAGAGGTCATAAAATGGGACAAAACTTACAATTGTGTTGCTTAGCAACAGAAATTTTCAGAAGTAAGTCAAGGACTAGTTGTAATTCAGTATCACTATCAGGCAAACACCTCTATTACAAAAAAGGAGATAATTTAGAACAGGCTTATCCAACCTGGGCATGTAGCCCAGGTCGCCTCGTAATGCGGCCCAGTGCCCACCCCAACCTTCGTGCCAGAGCCAGCGAGGAGGAGGAGGAGAGGCAGGCACGAGGCGGGGCGAGGCGAGCGCCAGGCCAAGCAGCAAGAGAAAAGGCGGGCGCCGTCAGAGCGCCACCCCCTGCTGTTGCCGCCGCTGGCACCGCCGCTTTTGCCCCCGCCATCACTGCGGCTGCTGCCCCGCTGCGGCTGCTGCCCCGCTGCCGCTTCTGCCCCCGCCGCCGCCACTTCTGCCCCCCGCCGCCGCTTCTGCCCCCACTGCCACCCCTGCCGCCACCACTTCTGCCCCCGCCACCGCTGCCCCTGTGGCAGGGGCAGAAGCAGCAGCAGTGGGGGGGAAGAAGCGGCGGGGGCGGCGGGGGCAGAAGCGGCAGTGGCGGGGGGGCAGAAGCGGTGGCAGGGGCAGAAGTGGCGGCAGTGGCGGGGGAAGAAGTGGCGGCGGGAGCAGGGCAGAAGCAGCAGCAGTGGCGGGGAAAGAAGCGGCGGCGGGGGTGGCGGGGGCAGAAGCGGTGGCAGTGGCGGGGGCAGCAGCGGCAGGGGCAGAAGTAGCAGCGGCGGTGGGGGAAGGCTTCTGCCCCCGCCGCTGCTTCTGCCTTCCAGTCCTGCCTCATCCAGCTGGGCCATTTGCAGGAGGAGAGGTAGGAGTGAGGCGGGCGAGCTTCCCCCCCCCACACCCCTGCAAAATTTGGCCGGAAAATAAACCGTGATAAAAAAACTGATAAAAAACCCGTGATAAAAATTTTTTTTTTAATAAATAATAAATAATAAAAACATCTCACTAACTTCATTTCCAAATAAGTTTAATATGTTAACTATGTTTTCTATGGTTTTGGGGATGATCAGGTATCGTTACTGTTATTTTATTTTATGTGCGGCCCAAACCAAATTTTCATCTTCTAATGTGGCCCAGGGAAGGTGAAAGGTTGGACACCCCTGATTTAGAACTTACCATCATCACTAAGGCCGTCTTTAACCAAGAGTGGGTGATGACGTGGGAGTTTGGTCAAGGGCTGGCGACGGCCCTTTGACTGCTTATGATCCTTTACAGATCTGATGTAATCCATCTGCAGAAATCAGACAGGGTCAGAGAAACAGCTTGGTCTAGTGGTTAAGGTAACAGGCTAGAAAGCAGGAGATCATGAATTCAAGTCCCACCTTAGTCATGAAAGCCAGCTAGATAATATTGGGCTAGTCAATCTTTCTCAGTCCAACTCACCTCACAGCGTTGTTGTTGTGTGATAAATAGGAGGAGAATGGTATGCTAGGTATGTTTTCTGCCTTGAGTTATTTATTATTTGTAAAAATAATAAAAATAGGATACAAATAAATATATAAATAAAAACAGTAACCACAACATTATAGTAGCACTGTATAGTACTATTGGATGAATTCAAAAATTGAAAAATTACTTGCACTTTCTGCACTGCTTAAGCTTCAGGATATGCAAGATGTGTATTATGGATTAAATAATGTATTTCAGAATGCAGAACTACATCGACAATAGATTTACTTGGCATCTAATGTAGCAAATAAAAGTCCTAGAAATATTCTTTGCAAATTGCACATCAGCTGATAAAGTTAACAGAAAGTGAAAATCAGATAGATTAGAAATTACAATATTCCATGTGTCTATTGAGAACCCATCCTATATATCGCTTTATCATTCAAATCTGTCTGAAGCATAGTATGCAACATAGATTGTAGCTATACCCTCTGATATAATCTTACTTTTGCAAGCTCCTGTTCATCCCCACGAGCTGTGAAACTGGTTTTCTTCCGTGAAGGCTGTTCAATCTCCATGACATTCACCTCTTCCTTAGCATAACTATGAACTGTGAGCACCTCGGTTTGCTCAACCAACTGCCTGGAAAGATCAGAATCTGAAGAGCCAGAACAAAAAGATGAGCTAGACTGAAGGCTAGAGACTGGGCTTGGTTTCATGATAGATTGGGTAAAAACTGAAGACACAGAATGCGAAATGGAAAGATCCAGAACAGCTGCTTCTGGCTCCTCTTCCTCCTCCTCTTCTTCCTCCTCATCTAGTTTAACATTTTTCAGTTCTTCAAATTTTACTTCAGAGGAATCTGCATACTCTGCATCAAAAACAATATTTGAATATTCTTTATTAACTGCCACCAAATAAAATGCTCTATTTTATTAAAGCCTAAAAATTAATTTGAAACTAGGGCTTCAAGATGTGAAATATTAAATGGTCCAGTCTAGCTAGAAGTTTAATGTATTTTTTAATAAATACTCCTATAATTTGAATTTCCTCTAGAACTTCATTAACACGTAACACAATGTCACACCTTTAATTTCTCACTAATCACTTTCTAGAATTTTTGTTAACTTATTCGCTCCAACCCTGCTTCTTTGTGTAGTATTCCTTTTCTGAGACACATTTCCAAATCTTTTCAAGTTTTTAAAAAAATACAAATTAAAACATTCTAATGATTTCATATTTTATTTCATAACCGAAAATCTTGCGCCTTCCATAACAGTCCTTGAGCAATTTCTGGAAAAATGTCTCCAATTGTGGAGGCTACTTCTCAATTTTTGTATTTCTTCTATGCTTTACTGACACAATTCTATTAAGTTTCTTAGTTTATGTTCCTAAAGTCAAAAGAACATAACTTAAGAAATTAATCTGAGACATTTGCAGATACCCCAGTTTCTTGAGCATATCTTTCATATTCCTAATAAGGTATTGTATCAGTTTTCAACCTGATGTTTTGCTCCCAATGTTTTTATGTCTGTAGAAAGCAGAAGTTGGGTTCATGCATCACACTAAACTTCACATAGATTGGCAACATTCAGACAATAAACTAGGCCAAAACTAAATAATTTTAATTATGGCTGGGCTATAGCAAAGTTCTAATAAGCTTGGTTACCATGAACAGTAGCATCCAAGTATTACCTGGCGGTGCAAGGCCTTCATCTCCTTGCTGTACAGGCTCTCTAGCAAGTCCAACTGGAGGGGCTGCTTCCTCTATCTCGAACTGCACTGGAACCACCTCCTCCTTGGGAAAGGACTCGCTTTGGCTCACCTCATGAGGAACTTCTAAGCAGACTCGGTGCCGTTTGCTTCCAATGCGATGCTTTGGGACACTGCAAAAAGAAATAGCCATGTCATCTTTTAAATCAGGAACATCCAACCCGCAGCTTATGGTCCACATGCAACCCTAGACATCTAGTAATACAGTCCTAAAAGATTGTAAACTTCTAACATTATTATGTGATTTATATACAGTACATTAACCCCAATATATATTATATGCACTGAGGATAATTCCTTATAATTCAATGTAGTCTAGGCAAGCCAAAAGGTTAGACATTCAGGTTTTAAACAGAACTCTCTGAAAAATCAATTTGTTTTATGACTTTTCTGAAGTACCTGAGAAAGTACAGCTCTAAAAAGAGATACATTTACCACTAGGAAGAAAAATAAAAAAAAAATTCTTGGAAAAAATATTTCACATCAGTTTGTCAAAAGGTGACAGAATACACAAGCTTTCTATTCACATTAGTATGTCAAAAAGGTTTCTTCTCAGTTATAAGAAATCCCATTTAACCCAAGGATCCAAATAAAACACATTTGCTATTAGATAATAAATACTTCAAACACCAGGTATCTATCATTAATATAAATTTATAACAGGTCAGAAGACAGTTATAAGAGAATCTAAGATGATATATTATTTAACTTAAGGCAACTCAGAAAAACCCTTCAAAATGCTTTCTCCAATTCTTTGGGGAACAGTCTGGTTCCAACCATTAATTTAATTTCTGTTCATATTCTACAGCCTACAGAAAAATAAAAATCACATACCCATTTTCTAAAACTTACTGAATTTGGTTATTAAACAAAACAAGAGAAAGGGAGAAGAAACAAGTCCCAATGTAATTGGCAGCCACTTAACATGGACAATAGAAGCAGCTCCATAGATGCAGTTGATTAATAAGTGAGTTATTACTGTAATAAGTGAGTGACACTGGCTGTCATGATTTATGAAAAAAAGGCAAACATACTTTTTTTTCTCCATATCTTCATCTGCTTTGCATTCTTCCTCTGTTTCAGTTTCTTCAGGGCACCGCTTCTCATTCTTAACTTTTTGAAGGAGTTCATCCTTAAAGAACTCAGATGCTTCTGGTGTGGGAAGAGTATGATCAATGACTGTCACATCTTTCCCAGCTTTCCAGAGCTTGTAACGATCAGGCTGATATTTCCTCACAAAGACTTCCATGGAGATTTTGACCATGTCTTTTCGGCAGGAGCACTGCATGGAATAACAAAACAGCTGAGGCCACTTACGTTTTCATTTCAATTCAGTATCAACTTAACTCTGCAACTATGCCTCCTTATGAGAGTATTATACCGTTTCCTAATAAGAATGAATGGTGACTTCAAACATTGGAGGCTAAAAGTAATTACCTGGAAAAAGGGAGAACAAAATAACATGTATTTAATATGTTTGATATCACCAGATATATATCTGTGAGCTTTCTTTCTGACAAAGCATTTGTTGTTGAACTGAGTACTTTGAAATATTATTAATAAATAAAACAATAGTGCACAGAATGGTCTCTAGAAAACTGAGGCTGCAGCTATATGTCTGAACCATGAACCTGATGAGTTAACATGAATCTGATGAGTTAACAGAAAAAACATTAGTCATTAAAAATAGGGTATAGGAAAGCTAACATATCTGAACAATCTGAGAACTTAACAAGCATTATTATCCTATTTCCATTTCACAAGCCTTATTGTTTATGTATCTAATAAAAAAATATCTTAAGAATTGTGCAAATAGGCATACCTTATTCTTAAATTAAATATTGATACCTATCACTATGACATTTTTATCAAAAACAGTAGCCCTACATAACTAATTGGAGAGTTCTACATTTCCCCATCTGAAATCTTTTTTCTTTATACTGTCTTAGGGGCTTTTTTGTATGATTTAATATATTTTTATGGATGTTCAAAGTTAAAATGGCAAGACCTACTTCATACCACATGTTTAGCGTCAAAAAGTCGTTAAGAAACAGAATGCATTCTATCAACCACAAAATATTAAATTGATCAATGTAAATCTATAATTCTGCTTGATAAAAATTTAGGAATAAACAACAATTCTTACTAAAACAGACTGCTTTCCATACTCAATCCAACGAAGTGTGGCAAAATTAGTAGATTCAGCACAATTGAAGCCATGATTAAAACCAGCATGATATCCATAAGGAAAAGTTATCATGAATTCACCTGCTTCCTGAGTCACCTGAAAGAGAAGCAATCAGTATGGATCTCTATAGTTTATATAAACGCTAAAATTCATTTGATAATTCTTTTATAATTTTCAGTACTGTACTACCACGAGTAGTACTGTACTACCAATATGGGAAAAGCCCATATTTCTAGCTTTTTCTAAGGATTACTTAATGAAAATATATCCTTGCAAAGTAAAAAATTGTATCCTTGGAATTTATGGATTATCTATAAATTATGTGAAAAAAAGTATACACAGGGAATCTTCTCAGTGTGAAGAAAAAAATGACACAATTCGGTTTACAGATGTTTTGAGCATCTGTAAAAATAGATGTTCTCCTAACTGATACCTCCCTACTGCATGCAACTATTACAACTATTGAAAACAAAATATAAAATGTTTTTCCATCTAGCCTTTTTATTTTCAGTTCCTATAATCTTATAAGAATCTCTGCCTTCCTAGATTTCTGTAAAATGCCATCAATTTTTCCTTACTTTGGCAAATGGGATGCCATATTTCTTCAATATTGAGGGTGAGATCAAGGTCATTTTGTGACGGAGAAAAGCTTCACAACTCTGAGCACTTCCAGGAAAGAACCCTATTTAAGAAACAGATACTCAAGAAATTGTTGAAAAGGACTGTTTGTATAACATTCATTGGATGCAGGACTGAATACTTTCATATGGCTTTTTTCAAGGTTGACAATGCATGGAAGATAGATAAATTAACTACAAAGTCTAGAGGTGATTTTCAGACAAAAGTTCAAAAAGGACAAAAGAGAAGTACACTTTTCTTATTTCCTCTTAGCACATAATGAACCATCAGAGACATCTTTTAAAAGAAAGTCTTATTTTTTTCACATGTATGGAGACAACTTTAAAAAAGTGCTTACATCCTGAATTCAATAAGTATCATATTTGTTGGACTTTTATAAATCAAGTAAAATAATTGAGTAAGATTTCCATAATTTTTCAAAATTATTGCTGTTATTTTATACGTAGTCCTTGACTTACTACCTCAATCGGGACCAGAATTTCAGTTGCTATGCAAGGCAGCTGTTAAGTGAGTCGTGCCCAATTTTATGACTTTTTTGGCACAATTGTCAAAAATTAAGTGAATCACGGTTGTTAAAAGAATCTGGCTTTTCCCATTGTGCTTGTCAGAAGGCCTGGAAAAATTGCAACGGGCAATCATGTGACCCTGGAATGCTGCAGTTTTGTAGATACATTCTGGTGCCAAGTGTCTAAATTTTGACTGTAAGACCAATGGGATGCCATAACAATCATTAAGAGCAAGAACTGGTCTTAAGTCTCTTTTTTTCAGTGCCGTTGTAACTTCAGTCACTAAATATAAATTATAAATTGAGGATTACCTGTAGTAAAGTCAGATTAGGATTACAATTCAGTTACAAATAAAAAAACAGCTGTCACTATTCTTTAGAAGCAATCAACTATACAAACTGATTTAGAGAGAGAGGGATGTTTACCTTTAGCAAGACGTTCCAATCGCTTCCCATGCTCTGGAGGAATGGAGTACCTGTGGTTGCACATAAACAAATTACAGATATAATCACAAAAAAATAAGATGTTTTAGGTTATATAATGATGCCAATAAGCAAATTTAATTATTTCCCATCTTCAGCATCATTCCTACACTGAGACAATCAGCTTCCTGTTAAATATGATCAATTAAAAATGGATGCACATCTTGATACACACACACACACACACACACACACACACATACACACAGGATATCTCACCAGGACTTGGGTTCCCCAAAATGCAGATAATTTATACTGTACAGGTCCATGTCTTCCGTGTGCCAGGCGAAGGAAGTTTTCCACATCCCAAAGTAGAGATAAGGTGTATTCACTCCCTCAATGGTAATACCACTTTCATTTTCTACGATATCCAGAATTGTATTCAGATGACCAATATTCCACTCATCTACATGCTAAAAATAGATTAAACAGAGTTTTTTTTTAAAAAAGCAATAAGCTAATAGCATACATTCCAATATCTGTATAAAAAATTCACTTTGAGGATACTCAAATAATTTTATTTTATGAATATTGTAAGTTAATTTTGCCTCATATACCCCATCCATATACACATTACATATAGTGTACGTTTCAATTTTCAGTGGTCAACCTAGGAAATAAAATAACACTGATGCTGAAAACTTGGATGAATCTTGAATCAATGCAAAAAACAAATTATCACCAACTAACAGCTAGGGAAGCTATTGATTATATCTCATTACTTCTCTTTACCTTGTCATAGAGTGTGCCATTAACATCTGCCCCATAGATGGGAGGGTTGAAAGTGAGATTCTTCCAGTACTTGCGTTCAAGATCTTCAAAATCTGTATACCGAGGAGTATAGTACCTAAGGGAGCACAGGTTCACTGTCTTAATATAACTTGTCCATTCACTTTCTTTATTCACTGACAAACGTCATGAATTATTACCAATTTCAAATAACATATTACTACAGACAAGCATCCTGGAAATCAGAATTTTAGAAGATAGTCATGTACAAACATCCCAGATGAAAGAGCCAGAGTCAACTTCTCTATCATTTAAAATCTGTAATAGAATTAACTAATTGCTTACATATAAAGATGCTGTAACTTTTACCAAAATTATTTTAATGTAATTTCATTCTCTTGGTTTTAGTAAAGGTAGACAGCAAAAATAGGTGTCAAGTCAGCAGTATCCTATAGAAATCCATTTAAAAAACTAGGTTTTGATCTAGAAACTATCCCAACATATGGAGCTTCTCAGAGATTCAAATATTTGCTATTGAAATAGTGCAGTCCATTCATAAGTAATTTGTCTGAAGCTCTAAGAGTAAGACAGAGAAGCAAGTATTCTCAAGAAATTATATTGCAATTTGGAATACACTTATGCCAGATACTGACATGGACTTTGTTAAATTGAGATGCCTTTATATTTGAACCATTACAAACTCATATTTCCTATACATATATACATAAACACATGCACACACGCACACACTTAGAATCTTTCATGTTTAGATCATCTTTTCTTACTTGTCGCTATTTGCTATCCTCCTGAATTCTCGGACTGACATAGGTTTCTTCTGGATGTTATACTGAGTGAAGAGGCCTGACTGGCCGGTAACCACTTGCTTAATGGGAGCAGGGATGACCAGATCATCAATATCATCATACCATTTGCGTGGCTTCCATTCCTTAGGAGGAACAATCTAGAAATTGGAATTTTTATATGAGTAATTAATTGGAAAACTCAAGACAAGAATAGAACATTCAAAGGCTATATAATAATATAATACTTCAAATAGACTGACTCTTCAGCTACACAGAGTAGCAGAATTATGTCTCAGCATCATATATTAATAATCCACAAACACTGTTAATGCTCTTGACTACACATTGGCATTTTATAAAATTAAGTACATGGTAAATTAATATTCATAATCAAGAAATCTGTTTCAAATTGTTATCATGTATTTGGCTCAGTGATTAGTTTAGAAGTATAAATGCCAAAATGATTCCTGGTTTACTGTAATCTAAAATTAATTAAATACAAAAGAAAATGCCTGCTTAAATGGTACATGATTTTTTTATTGTATGTGCAAATCCTTTGAAAGCAATGTCCCACAATGTGTTAATTATTTTCTTATATCTTTGAAACAATAAAGCACCCAAGGGAGGCTTTGCTTATTGGCTACATATATACATGCTTACTGAAAAATATGCATTTGCTTTACTGATTCAACAGAGATGCCTTGCATATGCTACTTTATGTTGTGAAGCACAACTTTCAACTGATTTACACAGACCTAATGAACAATTAATATTACTGCAGTTGTGTTTTTAGAATTCTGCATATCCAAAGTTAGAGATAGGTTTGTTTAGAAATTAATCATGATAGAGCATACCATAAAAATAAACTTTTAATATAGTTACACGGGTCTCCCAGAAACATTTAGGCTTCATTTCAAATCCTATGTCAAACGATTAGTTAAATTAATGTGCAACAAAAGAAAAATCTAGAACTTCAGAATTTTCATTGTTTAATTTTTCTCAGCAAAAATACTATTTTATCATTAATGGGATCTAATAACATCTCACCATAATACAACTTGCTCATTTGTACACTGATTACCAACCAAATATGTTACATTTTTCTGAATCAAATTTAATTATACTAAATATGAATGAATAAATTGCAACATTACCATCATTGTTCCCAGCCCTTCTTACCTTTGCCAATCCAGCTCTATGGGCTCCTTGAGACTCTATATAGGCAATATAACGGCTGAAATTTTTAAATTCTTCCACAGTTGGATGGAATGTCATTATTCTGGCACTTGGATTTAGGTTCTCCAATTCGGACCCCATGTTTTTTTGCCAATCTTTCTTCTCATATGTGAACCAGGAGAACTAGTGCACTAATACAAATAATTATAAGGATTACAAATTAATAAGTATTATGCAGAGTTATTGAGCACACAATAAAGAATGAGGAATAGTATCAAAATATGTTCACTTTCTTAATTAAAACTTTATCAAACTCAATCCTTCTCAATTTCATTGTGACTATTTTACACCTTTATACTCCTAAATACCAAGTTCACAATCAGATTTACAGAAGAACTCAGGTAAAGTACATGTACCAATTCTATTGTTTGATTTAAAAAAATGCCTCCACCTTAAATAACTTAATTTGACACTAGTTACAGGATAAGTCTCAGCAGCCATTGATAAATCAAAACTCACCAATGTGAACTTCTTGTGATGAAAAGTTCTTAGTAATATCATTTTCCTCTTGTTGAAGACTAGCTTCATATTAAAGAGAGCAGCTTTGTTTTCCATAGAGAAAAGCAAGTTCCTACTCTGAAATCTGTTTAAGACAGCAAGTATCCTAGATAACTATCCTGTTAAATGACTATCATTTTAGAGTTAGACCTATCCAGGTCTTGAATCTTCTCCCACAGCCAACTGAGGGCACAAGTGTTTGTTTCTGAAAAGAATGCTTCTCCAAAATGTTTATATCCTTGCCTTGCTTACTGGGCCCTCAAGAGAAATGGAGGAAAAAAAGGTGATGCTAAAACTAAAATTAATTTATGTGGGTTTGTTTATTGAAATAGAGATGCTAAGGGGGCGGGGAATGGAATTCATAGTTACTTTTTAAATATTGAAACTCTTTTGAAAGCTTTTTTTTCTAAAGAAACTGGAAATAAGGTGAAAAAAAAATCTGGGAAATTTCCCCAAAATTCTTTGTAACTCTTTTCTTCCCATTTTTTTAAACTTTCAATTTACCCAGTTTACCTCAAGTCATCCGCATGATGTTAAAAGCAGATGCATTTGTTTACCTAGTGCTCTAAGAGCCCCAACATTTAGAGGTTGTTCTCCCCCACCCCCAACCCCCCCAAAATTCTTCATTTTATTTCCCTGCCCTATCTCTGCTCTACCGGTTCTCATTCAATTCCTTTCTTCCGTTTGTCGTTTTTCTTTGCAACGCGCTGGTGCTGGACCAGAAAAATACGTTGTCTAAAACGGCCTGTGTGCTAAATGGAGAGGAGAGGATCCCGTTTCGCCTCACCATTTCGAAACTGTTCTTCCACCTATTGTGATCCTAGCCCTCTTATACACGGATCGCTCGGAGCGAGCTCCAACGGGCAACAGCTGATCCCCGGATCTCTTGCTCCCTTGTGGCTGGGAAGAGGCACCAAGGAAGCGACCCCAGATCGACCTCCCGTCGTAAAAAAGAGCCGGGAAGGCCCGGCGTTCACGTAGCAACTTTCGAGCCCCTCAGTGTTTCGCAGAATGGAAGGGCGCTGAAAAATGCAGAGCATCCACCCCTCACCTCGGGTCTCCATCCTCCAAGGAAGTCGACCCTCCCCATGGTTTTCGATTCTCCACAGCGCGATCCAGGGTCGACCGAGGAGCCTAGCCTGGATCAGGCTTTCCTTCCTCCCTGTTCATAACATTCCGGGACTTAACTCTTCCCCGTGATCTCCCTTTACGGCATTTTTCACTCACCTAAGGCCTCGCAGGAACCACCTCCACTTCTGACAGGGCCCGAAATACAGTTCTGTCTGAGCCTGGGGCCAACCCCGTCTTGTGCCCCGCCCCCACAGTCACGTTCCTAACGTTTCCCGGCCACGATCCAATCCCCAAGAGTTCCCGCATCCGTTTTACCCTCTCATAGGTTACGGAAAGTGCCAATCACGCCTCTTTCATTCGTTTCGTAAGCGTCTCGACGGCGGATCGCATTAGGACTCCCCGCTGCGAAAGTAGTTCCGTAGCGACGCACGGATTGAGCGCGACGCGATTGTGCCGCTGTGCATTTTAAACGATGTTAGACGGATCCCTCCGCTGGAGTAACTTAGTCGTTTCTTTCTCTCGGCGTTTTTACCCCTTTATTCTAATTTGTCGTTCCTTTTCCATCCGTATCCCAAGTTTCGCGTTAATTATTGCTCAGATCCAGTCAGTAAGAAGTGCCTGAATTGGCCAACCAATCAGTGAGAAAGGATTGGTGTTACTAGGCAGATATTGTTTTCATTAGAGTTAGAAGGGGCGGGTAGGAAAAGCGAGAGAGGAGAAGCTACTGAGGCAATTATTACCTAACCGTTGTGAATGCATTGCAAGTATCACGTAGGCTTGGAAGAGAACGGCTTACGTTTATTACTGTCCCCCCCCCCTCCCAGCTTTTATTTTGAATGCTACATGTGACACTAGACTCCTTCTCTCCTGCAGAGGAAAATAGATATAAGCCCCCCCTACAAATATTCAGTTGACGCACTTTCAAATTTTTCAGGACAACCTTGAAGCTCAAGTCGGTTCAGGTGAAACAAGACGGTTGAAAATCTTTGATCAAAAAAGGCGATTGAGGCAGGCATATCGCTGTATCGAAGAGATGGTTTGTCTGTGTTTCTCCCAACTCGGGATATCTGGTCCTTGAGGCAAAATACCCTTTTTTTGCCATTATCTTTCAGGAGCCAAGTAACTTTTATTGGTCTTGCCATTCTTTTATAAGCTTTCCCTCCTGTCTTTTAAAATTTTTACTGGTACTGATAAAATTTATTATGGAGTATTTTGAAAATGTGGATTATACATCTGAGAAATAAATCATAAAACTGATTAATAGGAAATCCTGAGAAGACCTCTGTACTTTTAAATTTTGAATGGCATTAGCTTGCTGAAACATTTTTATGCTTATATAAATTCAACAGGGTGCATCTAGCAGTCCTGAAATAATATACCATATTTGCTCATACCTACAAACATTTCCTTAAATTGTTTATTTTTGCCTTACCCATAGGCACCCGCCTCTGGGATATAGCTTTGAAATATAGCACACTGCAGTGTAAATCATGGTTTACAAGTAACAAGACAATTTGTCATATATTTCTCCCACCCCAAGAATGCCTATGATTCAGTCATGGTAAAAATTAGTATATATTGATTTAGAAGGGAGTCCTATTAGGCTCAAATATATATTCTCAATCATAAATTAACAAGGCATCTGATACTTAGGCAGCACAAATTTGTTCTGGATTTCTGCCCTCATTGTAGCATACAGCTTGTTTGGTCAGCCTGGAAAAATAGTTTGGTGTGGAACTAGAAACAACTGCCAGTTGTGAATCTGACCAGGACTCTAAATTTAATACTACAAAAGACTAATATGCTTTTTGCCCTGTGCCTTAGTATGTGGTATGGGGGGAAAAATTCAAAATTGATAGTTTTCAATTGTTAAATTTTATTACTTCAATATTTACTTTTATCATTAAGCTGGTAGATGGTATCAAAGTAACCATTATGGTTCAACATTGTAATAATTGTAAAACTGATTCATATTATCAATTTTTTTTCTGGTAGAAGTCTTATATTCTCATTGTACTCAAAATAACTGGATATTTGGTTCAATACCGGTAGATGTATTTCAACTCCTATAAACACACACAGATAAGTTTATGCTGGATAATTTGACTTTAGAATGGTGTTTGGAAGGAGGAAAAGGAAAAAAAGATGAGCACCTACCTCACACTGAACTTGAGCTCCTCCAGTTGTAAAAAACAAACAAGTAATGCTTCCTACCTTGTCATATTATTGCATTTGTGAATCACCAAATCAAGAAAGGACTTAAAGCAGTATTTACAGCAGTAATAATAGTTGTGTCTTCTGAATTGAGTTCCACTACTTGTGAAATCATAGAACCAACCATGTTTTCATTTCATTAATATGAAAATGGTTTACAGTGTACAAACTTGATATTCCCCAGAGGCCTCCCATCCAACTGTTAATCCCAAATCAATTTAGTGTCTAAGCTCAGGTGAGGGAACTAAGCGCTGCCATCTGTAGAATCATATTTATTTACAGAAGGTGTTAGGTCATAGTTCAGTACCCCAATATAACATTGCTGAAATTAAACTATCCTGAACAGGCTGCCAGCAGGAATATTCGCATACAGGTAGTCCTTATTTAGCAACCACAATTGAGGCCAGCAACTTGATCATTAAGCAAAGTGGTTGCTAAACAAAACTATCATTGTTCTTATGATCTTCAGAGCTTTACAGACCTGTAAAGGTCATAAATATAAGGACTGGTCACAAATTTATTTTTTCATCACCATTATAACTGCAATCGCTAAACAAGTCATTTACCAAATAGAGACAAGTTGTATGTTACAAGTCCTTTAAAAATGGGGGTTCATGTACACATTTAAAAAAAAAAATCGTGAGCCATTTTATCCTGGTGTCATTTGGTATAGAAATCAAATGCATGTTTATAATTGTATATTCCAATAAGCAGATATATACTTAATATCCCAGGCCAAAGGTACAGGATCTTCTGAGCAACATTCCTTTATCTAGTCATATGCAAAAGATAGTCTTATTGAATCTTTCTAGAACAAATCCAGAAGAAAATGGATTTTTTTCTTCAGCAACTGATGAAAAATGTAAGTTCTTTTTAAGATTTCCTAATGCGCAGGAGAATGGTATCAACAAGTTTTAACTCAGAGAAAAGATGGCAAAAATATTGTGAGTTGGTCTCCAAAGACTTTCTAGAGATATGGGCTAAAAATGTTGTGATATTGAAAGAGCAAGCTGATGACTGAGGACTAGCTGGGAGGGAAATGCTGTTTACATTTTCATAGGTTACCAGCCACATTGTTTCATTTGCAAAGTCCTGGAGCAACTTTTAATATTGTGCAAGAAGACATGAATCATATTTTAGAGTGATAGTAAAGAATCAGCAAAGGAAGTATGTGATGCTGGTAACACTTATTGTTACCATGGCTATAGAGTCTGCTTATTTAAAAAAAAAAACAGAGAGGGCAGCAGTATACAGTTGTTGGAAGAACCAGAATTATTTCTGCACTCAAAAACTATTACAACCAGGCTATGTAAAAGAAACTGCCTTTAGGGAACTCTTAAATGAAAATAAGTGAAAGAAAAAAGTATGACCCTTCTTTGATTTGGTTTCCTCTATAAACCTTCCCATGTGGAGCAGACTTAATAGATTGCAATTTAAATTTACAATAATGCTTTCTTGATTGAAATAATCACACACTTCAGCAATACAAAATAAATTTAAAATGTTTATATTTGGCATATGTTTTTTTTCTTAAGGCAATATTATATGGGCTGTATCTCTCTTATTTCTCTTTTTATGTGATGCATTTTTCAATTTTCTCTCATCTGAATTTTAACTCTGAACAAACTAGTTTGTAACTGCTGGGAGGTTCAGTGGTAATTTTGATAGCGAGAGGAAAACCTTTGATTCCTATTGGTTGAACTGACTGACCTTATCATGGCTGTGAATATGCCATCTGCTGAAGGAAGTGATCAGCCATGCCTTCGGTTTCACCAGGTGAAGTAAATATTTTTCACAAGAAAAAAGTGATGAGTGAAAAACTTGATTAAAAGAGGACCCAGGAGGTAGAAAAGCTGAAAGGCAAATGCTGAAATACAGGAAAGCTGAAGAAAAGTGATATAGAAGCTGATGAAAGAGGAGATAGTGGCAGCCTTGACAAATAAGAACATTTATTATCAGTTCCTTGCCTCTCTTTCAAGAAGGGAGGGGAGGCAAGATTAAGGAAAGGAATGGCAGTGCAAGAAGATAATCGTCATGCAAGTGTTTTACATGAGAAAGAAGTCAAAGGCTTAAAGTGGTGAGTAGGGCCTTCAGGAAATGCATGATAAAGAAGGCTTGAGAAAGGTAACAGCCAAATATATGTTTTCTGATTTAGCTATAAAGTAGCATTAATCTTTACCCTTAAAGGGGTGGGGAGGATGTATATACTCCTATTTCTGTCCATTCCACTCCTTAGGCTGTAAAGTAGTATTAGTTATTAATTAGTTAATAATACTACAAAGATGTTTCGTTGCAATAAAAAAAATCAAATATTAAAAACAAGACCTTGATATGGTCTTAATGTGGCTTGAAAGCAGTGATCAAACATGAGGGGGAGAGCAGGCTTTCCAAAACTAGGACTACTCAGATATATTGGTCTTTTTGCATAATTCATATAAGTTACACCCAAAGTTTGGGAGAGTTCCAGGACAGAACATACAACAGACTTCTCCAGTCAGACACCCCCTAATGAGTTTGATTTGAAATTATGTGAAGCTTAGCCAGCAGTGCTAATTTAGGGTGTTGTACTTCTTGTTAGACTGAAGCAAAATCTGTAGTTTTATTTTCCCCCACCGTCTTAGGGAGGTTTTCATACTACTATCATTTTGACTTCCAGATCTCAAAAACCATTTTAAAATGACCCCACAAACATCACTTTGGCAGACTCCAAAATATTGAGTTTCAGTCAGAACGACTTCCATCTACTACCATTGAAAGACAGAACCAGGAACCAGGAGCCACAACATTCAAAGTGATTTCAGGAAATAAATTGCACTCCTTTGAATTTATGCCACTTTCTGTTCCACAGAAAAAGATGAAGCAAATAATTTCAAGATAATGTTAGGTTTGCACTAACCTGACCATATTTTAGCTTAGTGTCAACCAACCCTGAGTCTGTTTGGGCAGTTTATGATTCATTCATATAAGAGTACAGAAAATTGTCTCAATTGAATAGATCATGGTTATATCAACAATGGATAAGCATCATGC